CCCCAAAACCCCAAAACCCCAAAACCCCATTAGCATTAATTATTCGGCTGTTATGAAAAAGCTTAAAATAATTTATGAAGATCTTAATTTAGTCATCTTTATTCATTTCCTACCTTATTCTCTGCCTCCTATTATATTTGCTCTTATGAATATTCCATGCTGCCGTATTTGAACACATTTTCTTCTTCATTGTTTACTTATTAATCATACTATTAATCATTAGAGTCCTGTTAGTTAAAGCCTTTATCTTGGTAATTTTATTATCCCCCCTCTGCATTATATTGATACTTCTAGCCTTCTTCTCTTTAAAACTACTCGTCGTCCTCACCATCTATATAATGTCCTTGTTTTGGAATTTCCTGGTCATTGTAAACAGGGAAAATCTTATTAGTTTTTTAAAATTCGGATTAATTATAATAATCCTCTGCCATCCTCAGTTCTCTCATTATTTCCTCTTCTGCTATCCTTCTCATTTCTAGATTAATTTTTCTTTCATCCTCTTTTATCATTTGCCTCTCAAGAATGATTTGCTTTAATTCATTTGGCATCGATTAATTTAATGGTTCAGTATTTTGAATTTATCTCAGCTATTGACTCTCTGAGTTGTTTCGTCTTTTACTATAATAGCCTATCTATGTCTGTCTTCTACCTGGAGATTCTCCCTTTTCTCTTGCTAATAGCAAATTAACTGTCTAATTTTCAAGATCTTTCAGCTACTCTTCAAGTGATGTATAATCTTAAAGCCCACCAGTTTCTTAAATCAGTAACAATCTCTATAAGTTGTGGTTTTCTTTAATGAGTTATTCAACCAAATACTGTAAGTAAATCAAATAGTAATATTCTTACGTTTTCTTATGTTTATTCTTCTATATTTTATAAATCAAATTCAAGCATGACCTTTCTCATTATTTCAACTTTTTCATTTAGCTTTCGATTTTCGTCTTTTAATTTACGAAATTAATTTTCTAATTTCTGTCTTAAATGCTATTGCTTTATTAACTCCCTTTCTATCTTATCCTTCTCAATCAATTCATCCTATTATAAATTTCATTCATTAAAAAATCTTTTACTTAAAAGTACCTCAATTTCGCTCCTAAGAGGTATATTACTTTTTTGAAGATCCCTAATTCAAGTTTCAAATTATCTTTTTCTGCTTAATGTGTTGCCTATAAATCCTTGATAATTAATTTCATGACTTCAGCTGAGATTTAATTTTCTTGTCGATCCTTCTAATATTCATTATTTTTTTCTTCAATGACAAATTAGACTTGATTTTAATCAATCGGATCTTAATCGTCATTTGGAATTCGCTAATGACCAATAATCTAAGAGTGAGGAGACATGAGTAAAAATGAATTGTTATTTTGGTCATTGAATTACCCTGTGGCATGGTTTAAAATCAAACTTGTGTCAGCAGCAAATCCGCTTTTGTCATTTAAATTTGGCTTGGAAAATATGGCTGAAACATCTAACCCATTTTCTTATTCTCCAATAATCGAGATTAGTTAGCTCTCATCGTTCTCAAATTAATCAATGTGAATGAAAGTTTCATTGATTTCTTTCTAGCTTCTCACTTTATCCTATATATCAGTTATAAAAATTAATTACTTTAATTTGGAAAGTGCATTATTTTATCCTGTGGACTAAAGACTTAATTTAAACCTCAAAATTCAAGTTTTCAAGAGCCTCAAATGGTACTTAGTCATTTATAGGACTAATTTACTATGATTCATCAAGGGTAAATAGGCCATTTTCATTAATGTTTTTCAAAGGATCCTACCCAAATTCTAAATTAATATTTTTATTCTCATAGGATTTTGATTTTGCGCCTCTCAAGTTATCAATATCGTCCTCTTATTGTAAATTTCTCAAACTCTCTTGCTAAATTTGGAAACTATCGCCAAAATACGTTTGATCGAAGCAATTTTAATTTGCCTCTAGCTCGGCGCTTCTCCCACTATTAATTTAATCATTAAGTATCTTTCTCATTTGACCATTGTTATCCAGATTTTATTTATTGTTAACCTCATATGATGCATTGAGGGATTTTGATATTTGCTGTTGCTGTTGTCTACTCCTCTCACCCTGGAACTTCTAACTGGAACTCAAATTTAGTTGAGGCGTTCTCGCACCTGAGGTGTTCCTCAAATGCCCATCTCGTGATTTTAGGATTTATTTGGGTATCTATCTAGAAGCTGTTTGTCAAACTTACTCTAGGATCAATGGTTTATTTTCTCTTTAACGATTTATTAGATGAGCCATTTTGTAAATTAATTAAGAAATTACTTTGATTAAATTGTTATAATTTATGATGAGTGGGGTTTTGGGGTTTTGGGGTTTTGGGGTTTTGGGG